ACAAGGCGAAGAAGAAGACGAAAGCCCAAACGCCACCAGACGCAGCAACCACCGCCGCGTGGGTGCCGGCCTACGACGCGGCGTCCGGCCAAAACTACTACTACAACACCGTCACGGGCGAGTCCAAGTGGTCGCTCGATGCAGCGACATAGGACTGTGATGTGTCGAGAGTGGAAAACGAGATCTTAGTGTACCGTCGATGACAGCACGAGCATAGTGCAGGGTATTAGTGAGGGAGATAGAATGACAGACGAGTTTGCAGTCCGTGCAGTCTTTTTACAAAGGCCATGATGGGGACGAAGCGTTGACGCAAGAAGTGGAAACTTGACTTTGAAGCTCCAAGAGTAAATATATGGATAGATAGTTAGTTAGTTAGATAGATAGATAGATAGATGGATAGATCGGAAGTGTAGTAGGTAGCTGCAGGAAGCAATACGGGAGAGGTCCGTCGAGGCCACAGAAACGCGAACGACGACGCGTCGAGATCTTTTCGAGTGCACAAAAGAACGTACATGTATCCGGTCTACTTCACACACGTCTATTCACCCAACAAAGAAATTGGTAGTGATAGCATCACAACCAGAGGCATCATCTCTCGCCTCGTCAGGTGCCTTGGAGTAGGGGTAGGGTGTAGCATCATGCCTTGTCCAAGGAAACCGCCTCGACGACTAATGACTAAACTAAATTACGTGTCGCGCTGGGGGGCACGGTGCTGGACGCTCCTGATCACGCTACGTCGTGTGTTATCACGACGGTCACCACAAGGCCACTCGACGGTGCAATTATGGCGGGGATGAAAAAGACCCATGATAGATTGCCTCTCCAAAACACAGCCACTCCGCGCTGCGTGCTTACGCGCAACGAGGTGCCCTTTCTTTGCATTGACGTATTGCGGCACTGTACGTAAAGCCCTGATCCGCGACGGGCTGTCGCCCGACGGCCACGAAAAACCTTTGTGTCTTTTTATTTCCTCACGACGAGGGTCCTGCTGGCCGCCTCAATGTGTAGTGCAGCTGGCTTCACTTGGAATTACGAAAGCATTGCCACGGATGACGATGCCCTGTACTAGCTTTTTCTTCGAGGCAGCGTTTCGCGCCATGGCCCGTGGCTCGACGGTCCTTTGTAGAGTCGCCACGTGATCGATTCAAAGTTGTACTTAGTATTTTGCTTGGCGCATTCGAGCCACGGATTAAATTGGTCCTGGGTGCTTCTGGGTGATGGGTTTTACGCCCACTCCAAGCATAATTTCGTTTCCCCGCAGACGGCCGAGCAGGATGGGGGGTAACGAATGTATTGGTGCCCCGCCTGCCCAGTGGTGGGCGATGTGGGTTAGCTAAATTGCTGTAAGCAGCCAAATTGAGGGATGGCTTGAGCTAGACCGCTCTGCGCCTTGACTTGCTTTGCTGCTTGGGCAGCCCTTCTTCTTTTCTTCTAATCCTCTGCTGTTTGCGACTGCTCGTCCCGCCGCGCGAAAAACCTCTTTCTCTTCTCCCTTTCCGGTGTCCAAATGTTCGTTTTGGTGCATTTTGGTGATGCTTGGACGGGGTGGTGCACCAAAGAATCACAGACCCTTTTTGACTTGTAAACACGTTGCTAGTGCCCCCGGGAGCAGACACAAGGGCAGCAAAAACGATTTGATGCGTCTATCCCAGAGCGCTGTGTTCCCTCCACTTGTCCTACTGGTTACTACATAGTAGAAAAGACCATCAACCTTTGGTAATAGCCCTTGAATCGAACAAGCATTGGTGTCGTGTCCGTCGCAACCTGCTTGGCGCGTCCCGTCCAGAGGTCCCGTCCAGGCAAGTGGCTCGTTTTTGGCAGCTTGTATGCACACTGGTTACTCCACGCTCTACAACCGCTTGGCGTCTAAAATCGATGCCGCGTAGCGTCGTCGTCTTCTATTTTTCATATCTGATCAGATTGGAGGCTGTGGACCCGACGAGATTGAAGCGTGAGAGACGTGCGTGGACCAAGCGGTTCGTTAGTATCTTGGCCGTGGCCCGACTAGGACGGAATGTGGGCGACACGCGAGACGATATTTGTTGAGCGGAAAACGTGCGCTTCACGACATCGGACCGAAGCAAAGCGACGAGAACCGCAAGATCGTGGCGACTTCAGCCGATTTGTAATCACGTGTGCCGGACCACGCTTTTGTGGATGTGTGTGTGGCGCCACCAACGTACCACGGGCACATATGCAGTGACACACGGTGCTTCCTCACATATCCGCTCGGTTGCGATGGATTTGAGAGCGATGGCTGCGACCTTTCTTGGCGACTAGGTCAACAAGTTGGTAGGTATAGTGTGGGACAATGGCACCGGCCAAAGAGTTCTGTGGCGGTGAGGCTGCGTGTCCTAATCTTATGGTGCGATCGACGTCGGGCATCCCATCCAGTACCTGGCCAGCACCTGGAATAGGTCTGGATGGTTTTACCCTTCACACAAACGGCACCGAAAGGAGTTGCCCGGGAAAGTATACGCTTTCATCTCTTATGTCAATGCGGACGCAGGGACTTTCTCCTTGATCCAGTTGAAGTTGCGTCTTGGGATAGGTGGCCATCGGATAACTCGTCCTCTTACTTCGCCCAGCTGTTGCACTTTTGCTTCGATATTTGACATACAAAAAGCAAGAGAGACGCTAAAGGCGTGCCTAAGCAACTCGATTTCGGCTTCGAGCTGCGACTGGCCAAAAGTGACTGGCCAATGAGAATCTGAGAATGCGAAGGTACGGTCAGGAAGGGTTGGATGCACTTCGGATACGTGGGCGCGGGCAATTCTAGCTTTGCGAGCGAACTTTAGCTGAAGGGCGGCGTGTCCCATCCTCGGACATAGCCAACCTCCGTTTGGTCATCATTTCCTCTTTTGCACAGGCCAGCGCACATGGGATTCATCGACGACCTCTTCCGCACCAAGCCCATCGAAGTCATCGAGGCTGAAGAGCGCAAGGAAGAGCTGCCGCGTGAGCTCGGTCTCCGTGATCTGATCCTCATTGGTATCGGTGGCACCGTCGGCACCGGCGTCTTTGCGACGACCGGCGACATCATCAGCGGCGCGGCGGGTGCGGCCGCGTTTGTCTCGTGGCTCATTGCTGGCTTCTCGTGCATTCTCAGTGGCTTTGCCTACATGGAGATGAGTTCGCTCATCCCGTCGTCTGGTTCGACGTACGCCTACTCGTACCACGTGCTCGGCGAGCTTCCGGCCGCGATCGCTGCGTGGCTCTTGACGCTCGAGTACGGCATGTCGGGCGCCGGTGTCGCGCGTTCGTGGGGCACCAAGGTCCAGGAGTGGGCCAGGGAAGGTCTCCCGGAAGGCTCGACGAAGGTCGACTGGCTCAACATGGAGTACTACTCGTTCCTTGCGTGCCTCATCTTTGCGCTCTCGGTCGGCGTTCTCCTCGGCGGCATGAAGTTTGGCAAGATCTTCATCAACGTCTTCACCGGCACCAAGGTCGTCATCGTGCTCTTCGTCATTATCGCTGGCTTTGCGATGACGGACACGGTCAACTTTACGCCGTTTGTGCCTGACTTCGTGCCCGCCACGGACGAAGACACGGCGAAGTTTGGTGTCCAAGGCGTCATGCTCGGTGCGTCTCAGGCCTTCTTTGGCTACGTCGGGTTCGATGAGGTCTGCTGCCTCGCCGCCGAAGCCAAGGACCCGCGCCGCGTCATGCCCCGTGCTGTCATTGGCACGGTCCTCGGCACGATGATCCTCTCGGCGTTCGCGTCGCTCGCGCTGTCGGCCATGATGCCCTACGACGCTGAGACCCCGTTTGGCTTTAACTTTTCTGCTGGCTTCCGCTACGTCGGCCTCGACTGGGCTGCGACGATCGTGCACATTGGTGAGACGGGCACGATGCCGATCGTGGTCTTGATTGCGTTCCTCGCGCAGCCTCGCTTGATGTACGCGATGTCGGTCGACGGTCTCTTGCCCAAGATCTTTGGCAAGGTCGAGAAGAACGGCAACCTCTTCTGGAGCACGTTCCTCTGCGGCGGCTTCTTCTGCCTCGTTGCGCTCTTCGTGCCTTTCTCGTACCTCTGGAACTTGGTGTCGTTTGGCATTTTGATGTCGTTCAACATGACCAACTCGGCGCTGATCCTGAACCGGACGCGCGACTCGTCGGCCCACATTGTGTACAAGCTCACGGGCGCGCTCGTCGCAACGTCGTGCCTCTCCATGTTCCTCTTTGAGAAGGGCTACGTCGAGGCGACCGACGCGGCCACCGGCTACCTTGTCGTGTCGATGGTGTTGCTCGCGCTCGTGCTGGCAATTGCGATCACGATCTTTGTCAAGTGCCCGCAGAACGTCGGTCCCCGCGAGTGCTACCGCGCGCCACTTGTGCCGTTTGTGCCCGCGCTCGCGATCACGATCAACTGGTTCCTCATCGCGCAGCTCCCGGCTCGCGATATTGGCTACGGCTTCATCTGGATCGGCGTCGCGATCGTCTTCACTTTGCCTACGGCTACCGTAACAGCGCCGGCAAGGACGGCTGGGCCACCATGCTCAACGACGGCTACATTGGCCACAACGCCGTGCGCCCATCGATGAGCTCGATGATGGCCGACCAGAAGGAGTCGATTCTGAGCGCCAAGATGGCCCTCCAGGCCAACGAGCACTAGATTGTACATTGTAGAGGAATCATTTTTAAATTCACGTGTCGTTCAACATCCCTTCTACCTTGTCTGTACCGTGGCGGAAGTATTATCCATATCACGCAGTGCTGCGTAGTACAGTGCAGGACGGTAGTAGCATTCGATTCAAGCCGGAGGCATTGACTGACCAGGATGCTTGCGCGTGAGTACATGTATGCTGCCTCGCAGGCGCGTCTGAAAGTGTTCTGGGGCTGCAAGATGTTGAAGCGGTCACGTCCGCTCGGCGACGATTCATTCGACCGTCCGGTCTTTTCTGCGGTCCAACCACCTGCGTACATGCGTACAAGTCTTACTGAATGAGAAAACAGTGGTAAAGATCTTGATCTATCTATCTATCTATCTATCTATCTATCTATCTATCTATCTATCTATCTATCTATCTATCTATCTATCTATCTATCTATCTATCTATCTATCTATCTATCTATCTATTTGGGATTAACCCATGGGATTAACCGAGACTTGAGTGCACTTTTTGTGTGTAGCGATTGGACAACCCATGTCCGTCGTTCTTGGGCGCGGGGCCGATGACTCGGCCGATGATTATGCAAGAAAATGGATGTTCTTGGCCCATCGCGCTGTTTGGTCAAGTACTTTTAGTGTACTAGTACGAAGTACGACCAAGACCCGAGTTCGCCAAACCATCGTGCTGATTCGTTTTCGACGTTGTGCCAGAATTGCATCATGGACGCCATGTCGACCGTTGTGTGGACCTCACGAAGTGATGTCTCGTTGTTCTGGACCCGTGAGCCTCCACCAAGAGGCACGGCCTTCCGTGGACCACTACAAACCCGCGACTTTTCTGCCATGCGTCTTATCGATATTCGAACAAAGTCCATACTCCTAAAGCTACCATGTCATTCATTATCGCTTCTCACACCGACTATTAAGAAGCATTTCGCTCGACCAGTGAGATCACTCGTGCACGGAATTATAAAGATACGGTGGACATCCTAATGCGAACGAGAGGCGTGGCCGGTGCGTCAGTGAGACGCGTTTGTGGTCCTGACTCGGCGTTGCGCGAGGGATAAGGTAGCGTGCACACCAAGGGTCTTCTCTGAGACCGATGAGCGACGCGTCAAGCGATGGCACCACAGCGCGACAAGCCAAGTGCCGGACGTGCCGTCGTGCGATAGTAGCTGCTTTGATCGAGAGGGCGGCAGCCTGAAGTTTTGTCAGCGTCGTGCGGAAGACGTGGTTGTTACGTTTGCGCGAGAGACAATTCAAGGCGCAAACGCATACAAACGGCCAGAGGACATGCATTGACGACTTGTGATCCACGTACGGCGCGGCGGCGGCGTCGTATAGAGAGCCAGCGACCGACGACGGAAATTGCATCTTCAAATTATCCCGCATCGGTGCAAAAGCGCGCCAGATCGCGCGGACGTATGGGCAGCGCACCAAAAGATGGTCGTTGCGGGCTTGCGCATCGCAGAGAAGGCAGTGTCGAGCATCGGGGCCGAGAACGTGCATGCTGGATCGGACGGCCACGGCTTTCAACGCGACCCGGTGCAGAACGTCACCGTACCGCGGAAGGACGTGGGCTGACTGCCACAAAGTCGTCTCGTGTCAAGGCTTCTCGGAGATAGATGGAAAGTTCTCCTCTCCAGCGCAAGAACCGTGCAAGGCATCGAGTGCACCCATCTGCTATGTCTTCATCACGGCTACCGTCCGTCCAGCGAGCGACATTGATAGGGACTTTGTTGTGTGCCGCGACGACGTGCTGACGCAGCAATAGTCGACATGGCTTGGGCACGATCGCAGGAGGATGTCCAGCGATGCCTCTTCCGTCTTCCAAGAACGGCTCAAAGGGTCGTCTGCACGAGTAGCAAACGCCGGAATGTCGACTCAGACGCGCTTTCGTAGACGGGTGCAAGATACTGCGGTGGACGTCATGACGCCTGTAATCTACTGTCGCGTCCGTGGGAGGAATCCGAGCCTCCGGGGAACAAGGCCATTAGCGTCGTCATTGAACATTGCATTGCAGATACCAGTTGCGAGCTTGCATTTTAATCGATCTTTGTACAAGATGGAAGATTGCCGATTCGAAAAATAGAGGCGAGTCCAATGCTGACCTACTCAGACACCAACACTCTGAGTCCTTGGCAATTAGTAAACCGCTAACAGAGCAGCTACCAGTAGGTCATGTGGTACCGCTTTGATACGGTATGGGTTTGCGAATATCGCGCTTCTTTACGGGTGCCTCCTGCGACCTGTAGCCTGCCCGCAAGCTCTGTCCGCCCGCCCATCGCACCGCTTACCAAGCCCCATCTCCAAATCCTTCTCTTCAACCTCCATGCAACGTGTCTCGTACATACTACCTCTGTAGCGCCGACCTCCGACAAATGGCTTGGCGACCTCACCACTCGGCCTGCGCCATCCACTCGCCCGCAGTAACGGTACCGGCGTTGAATCGCAGCACGCTGAGACCGTTGGCAGGCCAGCACCACGACCAGTTTCGTTCAAATTGTATGTACATGTACATCCAAAAAGCTCACTTCAACGAAATGGTTCACTATATTATACATGTACGTAAAGGCAGTAGATGTCGTGTCGTTGGCGTCGAATCAGACGGCGGAAATAGTGCACCTCGCTTCTCAGATGCAGGCCAACCACGCTTTCACGCTTGAGCGCATCGACCATCTCCACGTCAGAACGTTCATGAGCTTCGCACGCGGTTTCGATTTCGTGAACTGTGATGACCTTTTGTCTGTTCCATCACACGTCTGGGTGCACGTCTGGATGGCACATCCAGGTGACGTTCCTCTGCGAACGTGTACCGGTATCCGCGCAGTCTTGCTGCAAGGCTCGCCACACGAATATGCAGCGAACGATAGTTATGACAACGACAGCTACGACGACGCGACGTCGAGCCTCCGGCGTTTGGATGGAATCTTCGTTGCGGTACGAGCATTGCTTGACGGTGTGAAGGCAATCGATGGCCCTTGATCGGCTGAACAAAAAAGCGATGCCATTACAGCTAGCTCTTTGCCTGCTATTGCCCCGCCACTGCTGTGCGTAACGACACCTAACTAGTAGTGGAGGACAGCGATGGTCTTTGTGTGCAGCAGTTAGATCATTTAACACCGCTTACAGTATCCATCTCGGGGTCATCCATAGCCCCATAGCCCATTCCCTTTTTGCAGCATGGAATAGTGGCTGCGGAATGCAAGGAGCGGGGCATTCCTCGCGCTGCGAGGCCGACCAGATTGCCTGCATGGAGCTGCCCTTGGATCCTATTGAAGTTGGGTCGCACCAGCTGGTCGTTGCAGGTGGTATACGTGCCCATCTGATCACGACCACTACATACAAACTGCCCCAAAACCTCGCGGGAAGCCAGAGAGACGTGGGCGATTCGAACATAGCTGGAAGGCATCGGATTGGTCGATAGGACGTCGACCAATCAAATGCAATTAGAAGTTCTTTACTGCCAATCAGAGGGCGTGCACCTGCTCTTGAGCTTCAAGTTGTTTGTCGTCCCACGCTGTGCCAGCTGGGACTGTATTTTTTCGCCTTCTCACAAAATGGGTATAGAAACTTCAAGAGAAAAAATCGAATTTCTATCTCGCAATAAACAAGATCTTAGTCTGAGTTTGCCCTTTAGCAAGCTCACTTTGCTTTTCTTTTGTCGGACGCAGTATGGGCATCATCGATACGCTCTTCCGGACCAAGCCCATCGAGGTCATCCACGCCGAAGAGCGCAAGGAAGAGCTGCCCCGTGAGCTCGGCCTCATCGATCTCATCCTCCTCGGTATCGGTGGTACCGTCGGGTCTGGTGTCTTTGCGACGACGGGCGATATCATCAGCCTGACGGCCGGCTCCGCGGCCTTTCTCTCGTGGCTCATTGCCGGCGGCTCGTGCATTCTCAGCTGCTTTGCATACATGGAGATGAGTTCTATCATCCCGTCGTCCGGCTCGACGTACGCCTACTCGTACCACATTCTTGGCGAGCTTCCGGCCGTCATTGCGGCGTGGCTCTTGACTCTCGAGTACGGCATGTCGGGTGCCGGTGTCGCCCGCTCGTGGGCGGGTAAGGTCCAGGCCTGGGCCAAGGAAGACCTGCCGGACGGCTCGACCAAGGTCGACTGGCTCAACGATGAGAACTACAGCTTCCTCGCTTGCCTCGTGATGATCATGTCGGTTGCAATCCTCCTCATGGGCATCAAGTTTGGCAAGATCTTCATCAACACGATCACGACGACCAAGATCGCGGTCGTGCTCTTTGTCATCGTGGCCGGTTTCTCGTTCATCAACACGGACAACCTCTCGCCGTTCATTCCCGACCTCATTCCCGCGACGGACGAAGACCCGGCGCAGTTTGGTGTCCAGGGCGTTATGCTCGGTGCGTCGCAGGCCTTCTTTGGCTACGTCGGGTTCGATGAGGTCTGCTGTCTCGCCGCTGAGGCCAAGGACCCGCGCCGCGTCATGCCCCGGGCTGTCATTGGCGTCGTGCTTGGCACGATGTTCCTGAGTTCGTTTGCGTCGCTCGCACTCTCGTGCATGGTGCCGTACAACGCAGATATCCCCACTGGCATCTACTTTTCGACGGGCTTTCAGTACGTCAACGCAAAGTGGGCCTCGACGATCGTGCACATTGGTGAGACGGGCACGATGCCGGTCGTCGTCTTGATCTCTTTCCTCGCACAGCCTCGCCTCATGTACGCCATGTCGGTCGACGGTCTCTTGCCCAAGATCTTTGGCAAGGTCGAAAAGAACGGCAACCTCTTTTGGTGCACGCTCCTCTCGGGCGGCTTCTTTACGCTCGTCGCGCTCTTCGTGCCCTTCTCGCTGCTCTGGAACATGGTGTCGTTTGGCATTCTGGTCTCGTTCAACATGACCAACTCGGCGCTCGTGCTCTCTCGGACGCGCGAAGCCTCGGCCCACATTGCGTACAAGCTCACGGGCGCGATGGTGGCCACGGGCCTCCTCGCCATGTTCCTTTTCCAGAAGGGCTACGTCGAGGCGGTCGAAGGCGGCAGCGGGTACCTCATCGCGTCGATGATTCTGCTTGCGCTTGTCTTTGTCATCGCGACCGTCATCTACGTCAAGTGCCCCCAGTCCGTCGGCCCCATGGACTGCTACCGCGCGCCGCTCGTGCCCTTTGTGCCCGCGCTTGCGATCACGATCAACTGGTACCTCATCGCGCAGCTGCCGACCGAGGACATTGGTCTCGGCTTTGCGTGGATCGGCGCTGCGATCCTCTCGTACTTTGCCTACGGTTTCCGCAACAGCGCCGGCAAGGACGGCTGGGCCACCATGCTCAACGACGGCTACATTGGCCACAACTCGGTGCGCCCGTCGCTCTCGTCGATGCTCGCCGAGAAGACCAACAACATTCTCAGTGCCAAGGCGCCGCTCCAGGAGAACCAGCACTAGAAGGCTAGACATGCTGTTTTGTCGTTGATGTACATACATATACATGGTCGTTGAGTTTTTTCAATGCAATTTTGGGCGTCCTTTCCCTGTTCGGTTGATGGGTGCGATTTGCCTGGTTGACCACCACGATGGGCGCCGACGACGGCACCTACATATTAGTATCATGCTGGCGCCCCTGGACGGTCCAGTGACATGGCTGGCCAGAACATGTACTAGTACGCTTGACGCGGACGGGTCTTTGGTAAAAAAGCCACAGTGATTTTAATTTACGTGTACTCCCATCGTCGAGTTGGGGTACACAGTGCGAAAGACTAGCGGCGCGTAGAAAGATTGCACCAGCAGCTAGATGGGCGTAAGTTGCGTACTGTCTGCGCGACCGACGCAGGCGCGACGGATGCACCCATCCTAGCTACCCATTCTATATCGTGTAGAGTTGCAGACACCGTAGTATCTTGCCAAGATCTGAGTGTAACGTCCGATCATGTGATTGGTGCTGGCATGGATACCCCGTGGACCAATCAGGGGCGAGAAAAGATACCACCTACAGAATGGACGGCCCGCAAGCAAAGCTTGCGTCAAACCAGTGTCTGAACCGCTCGACTAAACCAAGTCGCCAGGGAAGCCGTGTATGAATGTACTCACTTGTAGTCGCACGGGTGCTTGCAGTCCCCGCGTGACACAAACGACAATGCCCTCGATGATGCCCTTGGAAACTTTGTGATCACAAGCACGCCCTATTCAGCCTCAGGAGGCCGGCGAGGGACGTCGGTGACAGCTGCGGCGCGGTGTAGAGCGACGGACGGCGAGAGCTTGGTGCGGCCTATTAGCACTGAGGCAGATCGAACGGGTCGAAATAGGCGTCGGCAGCATCGTACACTGCATCTCTTCCCACCAGATCTTGGAGCTTGCGGACGCCGCAACCTTTATGGACATTTGAATTCAGTAGTACTAGTACCGGTACTTGCCCGTGCCCAGTGTTTCCGATCCGAATCGAATTTGATTGGATTGTTGCCTGGGTTCGATCGTTCATGGCAGAGTGGCGCCAACAGCCATCGTGAACGAAGAGTCTCGAAGCCGAGCCGAGCCGCGATTGTCATCGAGTCGTCTTTCGCATCCATTTACAGAGGCACTGTGAAGTCGTACAAGGCCAAAAGGGTTATATAGACTGCACTCAACAATATCAATATGAGTATGATTCTGCAATAATAACGCTAGTACGATCCAAAGGTCGCTGTGACAGATTCGAATAAGTCCGAGTGGGATACACGTTCGGAGACCGCATTCTCTGAGATGATTGCTTTCAGAGAGAACACCGTCGCTCCACTTGCAGCAAGAACGAAGGATCAATGAGGCTCGACGTTCGCTTCACCTTTTGAGACTTCTTGCGCCTCTACCGGATGTCGTTGACTATTCTATACTACTGTACCGGTATGCTCGGCAGTGCGTCGCGGCTGTTGCACTTGTGGTGAAGGGATCAGGATTTCGGAGTCATACTGGTTCCATGGATCCTTCGATCGTGTCGACTCATACGCTGCGATGGTATTACAGCTGTAGCTACTGCCCGCGATACCCAATCGAAGGCGTCGAACCCGACATGCGGCGCTCGCACCCACAAACGACTAAATCCAGCAGTAGTCCGTGCCCCACTCTTGGTGTGTGACGTGGCGCCACGCGAAGCCAGAGCACGATTTCATTTGCGTACGTTGCCTGCGACGGACGCCCACATACTCTTTACGCAAGCGTCGTTCCAGTACATACAGCTGCGTTTTGTATGTGTGGTATTTAAAGCATCGACGACACAGTATACTACTGTACCCGACTGATAGCTCATTAGTCGAATGGATGGTCCATATGCAATCTGTCCGAAGTTGCACTTTAGCTGCCCACCAAAACATGCACAAAACACGCGCCTTGATGGATTATCGACGACGACCAAACGTCTTGCTCGACATTGGCCGCCACGTCGTTCGGTGTCTGTAGCACGACGTGAACAAAAATCAAAAATCACCGCGTCGTTGGAATCACCGTGGTACGCGGTTGCGTGACACGTGCGAGCCGTGCCCCAAGACGTCGCCCAGCCGATGACCGTGCCTACGCGATTTCTTATTTGCTCACACAGCGACGTCCTGTGTAACTTCCATGATATCCCGTCTTGCGTCTCAACACGTCATTTTTCAATCGTCCCGCTCGCATCCACACCATGGGTCTTCTCACGGCCATGTTCCGCACCAAACCCATCGCGGTCATTGACGCAGAAGAGCGCAAGGAAGAGCTGCCGCGCGAACTCGGGCTCGTCGATCTCATCCTCATCGGCGTCGGGTCCACGGTCGGGTCCGGTGTCTTTGCGACGACCGGCGACATCATTAGCCAGACAGCGGGCGCCGCGGCTTTTCTCTCGTGGCTCATTGCTGGCTTCTCGTGCATCCTCAACGGCTTTGCGTACATGGAGATGAGTTCGCTCGTGCCGTCGTCCGGCTCGACGTACGCCTACTCGTACTACGGCCTCGGCGAGCTCCCGGCCGTCGTCGCCGGCTGGCTCTTGACACTCGAGTACGGCATTTGCTCGGCGGGCGTCGCGCGCTCGTGGGCGGATAAAGTCCACGAGTGGGTCAAAGAAGGCCTTCCAGAGGGCTCGACGTCGGCCAACTGGCTCAACGATTCGCACGCGAGCTTCCTCGGCGCCCTCTGCATGGCGGTCTGCGTTGCCATTGTCCTCGTCGGAATCAAGTTTGGCAAGCATTTCATCAACGTCGTGACGACGATCAAGGTCAGCGTTGTCCTCTTCATCATCATTGTCGGCTTCATCGCGACGCAACCCGAGAACTTCACGCCGTTCGTGCCACCGGTGGTCCCCGCGACCGCTGACTCGGCCGCGCAATTTGGAGTCCAAGGCGTCATGCTCGGCGCATCCCAGGCGTTCTTTGGCTACACGGGGTTTGACGAAGTCTGCTGCATGGCCGCCGAGGCCAAGAACCCGCGCAAGACGGTCCCGCGCGCGGTCATTGGTGTCATCCTCGGCACGATGTTCCTTAGCTCGTTTGCGTCGCTCGCGCTCTCGGGCATGATGCCATACGACGCGAACCCGCCGAATGGTTTTTACTTTTCCGCGGGCTTCCAGTACCAAGGCTACAACTGGGCGGGCACGATCGTGCACATTGGCGAGGTCTGCACCATGCCGATCGTCGTCCTCGTCGGGTTTCTCGCGCAGCCGCGCGTCTTGTATGCGATGGCGGTTGACGGCCTCTGCCCGCCCATCTTTGGCAAGGTCGACAAGAAGGGCAACCTCTTCTGGAACACGTTGATCACTGGCGTCTTCTTCACCATCATTGCGCTCCTCGTGCCGTTCGACTACCTCTGGAACTTGGTCTCGCTCGGTATCCTGGTCGGCTTCAACATGACCAACTCGGCGCTGATTTTGGTCCGGACCCGCGAGTCGGCGCCAACGATAGCGTACAAGCTGACCGGCGCGCTGGTGGCTGTCTCGCTCGCCTCGATGTTCCTCTTCCAGAAGGGCTACGTGATTGCAACCGAGCCCGCGACCGGATACCTCATCGCGTCGATGGTGCTCCTCGCGGCCGTCGTCGCCATCACGTTTGGAATTTACTTTCTTTGCCCCCAGAACGTCGGGGCGCCCGACATGTACCGGTCGCCGCTCGTGCCGTTCGTACCGGCGCTCGCCATCACGTGCAACTGGTACCTCATTGCGCAAATGGGCGCGCGGGACATTGGTCTCTGCTGCGGCTGGGTCGGCCTCGCGATCCTCTCGTACTTTGTCTATGGCCACCGGTACAGCGAGGGCCAAAACGGCTGGGCCGCGATGCTCCACCACGAGTACACGGGGCTCAACTCGGTGCGCCCGTCGCTCACAAGTCAGATTGTCGGCGAGAAGAAGGAGTCCATCCTCGGACTCAAGCTCCAAGTGGCAAATTCGTCCAAGTAAAATCAGTGGTCTAGTGTTTCTTCGTTTAAAATTGCCAACGCTAACGACATGTATGCGTCCTACTCGGTTGACGTTTCGGGCTCGTGTTGTAGGGAGGTGTACACTCGCCTGCCAAAGAAAAATGGTAGTGTCGATGTTACATGTGTCGAGTTGGGATTTGTCGTTGCGTGGCAGAGTCGCGTCCATCTCGGCGTCGACGC